GGCCAGTGGCATACTGCGCAAATCGCTGAAGAAAGGACCGCTCCCTCCCGTGGAGATTGTGGCTGGCCGGCAGTCGGCCTACCACCCGAGGGGCATCATGGGCGCGAAGGCGAAGAAGTACCAGCAGCTGCGGGCCCCCCCGGCCCCCAAGGCGCAGGGCGTCCGAGAGCTGTTCAAGGTTATCCGTGGGAGGGCGATGGGCGAACCGCTCCCGCAGATGGAGGTGGCCGACATCTCCGGAGCGGCATCGCGTAAGAAGGCGAAGGCCGGCATGGGCATCGCCATGGTCACGCCCGTGGACTACCAGAGGCCCCCAGTCGAGGGCCAGGCTGAGCTGCTCCTCCTCTTGGGGGCGGTCGAGCACGCCCTTGCGCGGCCAGCGCTGGCGCTCGCCGCCACAGGGGAGCTCCTCACCCCCGAGAAGACGACGGGTGCTCGTGCCGGCGGCCCGGCGCCGATGCCAGGGCGTCAGTGGTCACTCCTGCGAGGACCCTATGCGCAGCCACGGTCGGCCGACGGCGCCCGACGCCGGGGGCGCAGCCCTGCTGGGCAACTCGCGCCTGCAGGGAGCGTTCCTGCGGGCGCTGGGCGAGGCGCTGGCATTCGCCGTGGGCATGGAGTGCGGCCACGGGGTGCTCGACACTGCCGCGTTCTACGACAGCATCCCGTGGGGCATCCTCGTGTCGGCCGCTGCGCGGCTGCATGTTGTTCCTCCACTCATGCTGTATCTCGAGCTGCTGCGGTGCGCCGCCCCGAGATGCTTGGGGCAGGACAAAGCAGTTTCCGAGCCTTTTGACCCGCTCCTCAGCGTCGTGCAAGGGCTTCGCTCAGGGACCCGCTTCGCCAAGATGATGACGCACCATGTCGTGATCACGGTTGCGACCGCCCATCCCAAGATGGGGGCGAGGCTCCGGGTGGACGACGTATCGGAGACGGTGAAGGGATCGAGCAAGGCCGTCCGCCTGGAACTCGCCAATGGCATCATCACTACGTGCCAGGAGTTGCAGAAACGGAACCTTAAAGTTGCGGATACGTCTGTTGTTGTGTGTAGCCTGATGAATGACGCTCGCGCTGTTGCCCGACTTGTCCGCCGAGCTGGTTTCGTGGTGCGGCCTGTCGCACATGCAACATACCTCGGCATCGACTTCGGTTGCGGCAGGCGAGCGCGCGCAACCAGAGCGCAACGTGAGAAGAAGCATCGACTCATGAGTTCTAAGATGCGCAGATTCACTAGGGCCACGCGCCAGTACGGAGCCATGTCCAAGCTCCAACGGCAAGGGGGCCTTCCAGCAGGCCTCTACGGGCACCAGGTCCACGGGCTGTTCGGCGAGCAACTCACGAGGTGCCGCCGTCGCCTAGCGCAGGCGTGTGCCTCGGCGGCGAAGGGACGGTGCCTCACTACTGTGCTTGCCCTACGGGCCCCAGGGGCTGACCCTGCTGTGCTATACCCTACACAGACAATGGACACCTGGCCCAAGACATGGCGCGACCGACCCCAGATACGACCTGGGGTACGACGAGCATGGCCTATCATTCTACACCAGACGCAGGCCATCCCTGTACCAGCACAGGTGCGGCTCATCAAGGGCCCCACAGGTGCCATCATACACTCTCTGTTGCGCCTGGGGTGGCGCCCCCAGAACCCATCGACATGGTCATGCACGACAGGTCCCGACAGCAGCGAGGAAGGGCAATTCCCAGACACCATCTACACGGGCAATCCGCACATTGACCGGCACGACGACCTCCTGGCAGATGTGCGCGCGGCATGTGAGTCCCAGCTCTGGGCTCAAGCCGCCAACCACTTTTGCGGAGGCGGCCTGGAGATGGGAGTGGACAGTACATCGTACATCCAGCTGCTGAAGCACATGTCCCAAGCACCGAATGGCAAAAGACGGTGCGAGATCATGGTCATGGTGGCCGCAAGGGGCATATGTAATAAGCAACAGAAAGCGCAGGAGCTCAATAACTACCAGGGCACGGACAAGGGCGACAGGCGTGGCACGGACGTGGAGACCCCGCTCCACAGATATTGGCCGTGCGTGTGCAACGCTGGTGCTAAGCCATACGACGACTCGGCCGATCTGTGCACGCAGGCTGTCACCCGGTGCAACACGGCCGCGGCGTTCTGGCTGCGAGGGCTCCTCCCCGCACCTTGGACGGAGATGAGCCCGCCTCCGACCACCGAGGCCGGGCAGTGCACGGGGGCGCAAAAACTGGCGCCTGGCATGTTTGGGCCAGGTACCGCCGCCAACCCTGTGCTGATTTTTTGAGATGTTAGCGGGGGTCCAGACAATCGATGCCCCAAGCTACACCGAGTCGGTTTGGCCATCACATGTTTCGAGAGCTTGCTACCCACCATCCGTCCCAGAGGGTCTATCTTCGGACCCCTGTGTGGACGGAGGCAGGTGGTGGCAAGAGGAGCGTTCAAGTGCCTACACCTGGCGCTATGGGCCACCACCCACCACCTCACGTTTGTCACCGATTTTGAGGATGTTGTCACGGGGTGGTATGAGCAGAGGTTTTGCCACCCCAGAGGTTTTGACGCGGACTTTTGGGCGGCCATAAGACAGATCATGGCTACCCGTCCCACCGAGCATATCTCTGTTCTTTTCACTCACTCTCATCTCTCGGCTACCCAGATGGCCAGAAGACACGGCATCAAGCAACTCAGCATCGGCAGTGCAGTTGTCGACGAGCTGGCAGGCTTGGCAGCAGCACGCACAGGCCAGGACTCCCGAGGCCGAGAAGCATCGCCTCTTGCTGCAGGAGCGACGCGCACGTTTGGTACGCCTCAGGCTCTGGCGGGCGGCAGTCGACTGCCTCGCCAAGGAGAAGGAGCTGGAAAAGCAACGCGACGGAAAAAGGCGTCGTGGCGTGCTGTCCCTCCCCCTCCGCCTCCTGCTGCTGCGTCAGTCGCGGCCCTGATGTCGAGGCTTGTGTTGACCGACTGCAAAAAGAGATGCGCGAGATGCCGTGGCCCCACGACCGTGGCCATCATGAAAGAATGGCATACCACCGCGTGCCCCGATTAAGTGAATATGAATGGTCTCATTTCATCCCCTCCGGCTGGAGGGCGTGTACATGTCGGGGGGACTGGCTGCACACTTCACAACACCTCAACGTGCATGTTGTTTTGAATAGCTGGTTCTGTGGGAGGTGTGGGGCCAAAGCTGACAAGCAGATGCGAACCCTAGCCACGCCCTGTTCGGGCATCCTCACCCCCACGGGACGTCAGCATCTCAAGATAATCCGTGAAAGGGCTACCCCCGAAGGTCCTCAGCAAGGCCGAATTTGCCCAGCGAGGCCGGGGGTAGAATCGGTCGGGATTGGCATCGCCATCGGTTCCTACTCCTACTCCTACTCCTCCCCCTCCTCCAGGCGCAGCAGGGGCAAAACGATCGGCGGTGCAACACGCGTGGCTGGAATGAGACGCGGCGCACTTCGCGCGCTGGACATGTTGTTGCCGACGGTGCAACATGAAAGGCTGGAGCGGAGCGCGGCGTACATCGCGCGTGTTCTTGTTTCTCGTCGACGTTGCTCAATACGCGGCAGGAATAGGACGCAGCTCATGTCGCGCGCTGAACGTCTAGCCGCCCAAGATATAAGATGAGCGACAGGCGTCGGACGCGACGCACTCGCTTCTTATGTTGTGGGAGGGCGGGTGGGAGTGGACGGAGCCCTCTGGCTCGTTCGAGCTGGCTAACTTGACCCTACCCTACTCTACTCTATCCTACCGTACTGTACTCTTCCCCAGCTGCTACTCAACTCTATTATACTTTACGTCTACTCTACTCTAGTGTGCTCTACTCTAGTATGCTCTACACGGATCTACCCTACTCCCCTCTGCTCTGCTCTACCCTACCCAACCTTGCCTTACTCTGCATTACGCTTACTCGGCTCCTAGTATACTCTAGTCCGAGACTGCCACCTTCCAATGTATTCACATCTGCCCTATTCTGCTCGACTCTGCACTGCACTACTGTAGTATGCTCTACCATACGTACTATACACTACTCGAGTCTGCTCTACCATATACCCTACTCTACTCTATTCTGCCCTGCTCTACTCTACCCGACCCATCCCTACCCTACCCTACTCCATTATACTCGGATCGAATATGCTCTATGATGTCATACTCTACTCGTACCCTACTCAACTCTACTCCTGCTCTACCCTTGCTTTACTCTACTCCTCCTCTACTCTGCTCGAATTTGCCATATTCTACTATAGTCGACTCTGCTCTCCTCCATCCTACACTGCTCTGCTCTACTCTACTCATAGACTCTTCTGTACTCTGCTCTGCTCTTCTCGACTCTACTCGTGTCTGATATGCCCGACTCTACTCTACTATCTACCCTCCTCTAGTCTGCGCTATTATACCCCATTCTACTCTACCCTACCGTACCCTACGCTTCTCTACTCTACTCGACCTACCCTACTCTACTCTCCTCGAGGTGACTCTACTCTACTCCTGAGTTTGACGATTGTGGAAAGATTATTGGAACGCCATTGGAATAGACACGGGAAGCCATTGCAACAACCACAGGGAGCCATGCGAAAACAGAGATAATCATGTGGGATAGCAGAGGATGCCATGCGGACGCAGAGGAAGCCAGGCGGATGGCAGAGGAAGCCATGCGGAAGAAAGGAAGCAATGCGCAACAGAGGACGCTAGCCGAGTAAGCCGTGCGCAACAGAGGAAGCAAATCGCAACAAAGGAAACTATACACAACAGAGGACGGGCGTAGGGGCAACACAGAAAACCATGCGGATAGCAGAAGAGACCATGAGCAACATAGTAAGCCGTTCGCAACAGGGGACGCGTGTAAGGGCAACATAGAAGGGAGCAAATGGACTAGCTCTCTTTGGACTGAGTTGATACAGGCAAACCTATGTGGGGCACAGCAGGTTACTGTAGCACTCCTTGGTGGACCTGTGGGCAAGCCAAGACGCATCGCCGCTGCTTGACTCCGGGGCCCCCAGCTTGGAACCGCCGCATCCTGCAGAGCCTGCAGGCCGGCCAAGATCTCGTCCAGCCTCTTGTCCGTGCCGACGCCCGGGGCGGCTGCCACCTTCGAGAAGAAGAAAGACAGCACGAGCGTAAACTTGAGCAGGGACCGACCGTCCCGGCATCCCTATAGTCCTACCACGAAATGTTCTTAGAACCCAGAAACTTTCTAAGAACAAAAACAATGTTCTCAGAACATTCACCCGATGTGTTAAACCAAGACAGGCTCCGCCAGAACTGTTCTAATCACACTTCGTGGAAACCACAAAAGGTTCTTAGAACATTGTTTGGTGGGACTATAAGCGAGCCGGGACGCTTCGCCACTGCTTGATAAACGTTTGGCGCTCCGCGCAGATTTCTCGGACCTGCGCTGGACCCCCCTCCCCGGCGCGCCGAGCGCCGGGGGGGGGGCCCGGCGCGGATCCACGAGACCCGCGCGGCGCGCCGAGCATTCCTGCTCGCGCCCTCCTCTCAGAAAACGTATCCAAATAGTGTCGAACGAGTATCGCCCCCCAGGGCCCGACACGTGAAGACCCTTCAGAGTCGATACTTTCTTCTTCCTCGCCACCTGCACGTCGACGCCCGGCCTCAGGAACGAGGCGCCGGCCTCGGTGCTGATGCTGGCCTCCGCGGCGTGGGCGAGGCGCCCGGCGAGGCCGCGGCTGCCGCACAGCACCCAGGACTTCGACGGCGCGCGGCTCGCCTCCGCGCCCTCGCGCTGGCAGGCCTGAGCCGAGTCGGACCGCGAGATCGGATCGGACACACGTCGGATGGCCAGCGAATCGCTCCCCGGACATGCTCGCGTCGTAAAACAGAATCAGGGCGGGCGTTTTTTCTCAGTTTTCGGCCCCCGGGGGCCCTCGCCGGGCCCCCGGGCCGTCAAAAAACGACTCGGGACGAAGAGCTGGTCGTGGGGAAGGGGTCGGGGCTTCCAGGGACGCCGTCCTGGAAAAACCGGGACGTCGCATGTCTGGATCCGAATCGAATCGAAACTGGATCGCCGCGCCCTGCTCCACCTGGCCGCGGCCGATGCCGGTTACTCAATCCGAATCAAATCGAATCGGAATCGGGGCCCCAGCCCGCGCACCGAATCGCATCGAATTGGATCGTAGGCGCCCCTGTCACCTCGCCGATCTGCCGGCCCAGCGACTCCATCTGCTGCGCGACAAAGATCCGCAACTCCACCATGTCCTTGACTTAGGTCGGGCCTGTCCCCCTACAGGGGGATTTTTGGATGAACAATTAAAAAAAAACCCAAATACCCAAAACATGCTCAAAAGTTACAGGGAAATTGTCCCCTGACTATTTTTCATTCTGATTTTGAATTGTCCCTCTGTAGAGGGACAGGCCCGACTTAATCCTTGACCCTCGCGCTGTTGCCGCCGCGCAGCCGCATCACCACGTCGAAGAACTCCTTGAAGCTCAGGAGCCCGTCTGCGTCGTTGTCGTAGATCTGGTCGGCCAGCAGTATCAGGCTCTCTGGGTCCGTGCCGAACTTCGTCAGGACGTCGTGGGTCTCGGGGCACTGCATGAGGACATTGAACTCTCCCCTGCTGATGTGTCGGTCTCCGCTCGTGTCGAAGTCCTCCAGGATGTTCAGCAGGTTGTCGATCAGAAATTTCGCCTGGTTGTCGGAGTGATCCTTGTCGGACACCTTCTGGACGACGTCGCACAGAATCCGCCACTGTGCCTGCACGGAGTGGGCGGCTTAGAATGGTCGTCTGCTGTCTGGGAAGTTGTTTCGCGTTTTCTCGGGCCGCCCGCCCCCCATACCAGCGCGCATCGTTCGAAACTCGCCCTCCCCAGATTTTGCTCTCGGGAGCTCATTTCGGCCTCGAGACGGCCAAGGATCTTAGCCAAGATGACACAAAGACGGCCCAAGATGGCCTAAGACCGCTCAACAGGCTCCGAGGATGGCCTCAAGGCAGCCAGAGAGGCCCTCAAGACGGCCCAAGAAGGGTCCAAGAAGCACTCCAGGAGAGCCCGAGGAGGCCGAAGCAATTGATGTTCGTCAAGTGTTTGACAGAGTTTGGCGTTCTTGTCTGTTTGGGTTTGCGACCGCACGAGATGGCTCAGGACGCTTCCAAGATAGCCTCAAGACAGCCTAAGAGGCCCCCAAAACGGCCCCCAAGAGGCCCCCGAGCGGCCCCCAAAGGGGCCCCAACAGGCCCGCAAGAGGCTTCGGTGACGCCCCAAGAGGTTCTGAAGACCGCCAGCGAGGCCCCCAGAGACGTCCCCAGAGGCTTCCGAGACGCCCCCAAGACGCCCTAAGAGGCCTCCAAGAGGTCCCGAGAGACAGCCGAAGAGACGCCACTGGCCAACGAAGGCTCCCCGAGCTCTCAACATGATGCCGCGCTCCCCCCTGGGAAGGGCAGCTCCCTTGGCATCGCTCCTGGATGGTCTGGTAGGGATACGCGAAGCGGTGAGAACTCAAACACCGGCCTGCAAGGCTGTTGCACAAGCACAGTGGCGGGGTTTGCCGCAGGCTGCTGGATACCTATAAGCATATTCAGTAGAGTAAAACTGCTCAGGAATATGAACACCAAGAAGGCGAATAAGAGCTCTGGCCACTCATCTGCAATTTCTAAATAGAGTTCGTTCGGGCTGTCCAACAATGTTCCATGCATCAGTAGCGTCATCATTGATTTAAAAACGCTTTGGAACATCCTTTCTTCCAAGGGGTCGCCTTTCACTTGGGTCTTGAAGACTATAGCGAATATGAACAACAACCCGCTCAATAATAACACTGTGAATGAGACTGTCCGCAACGAAGCCGCGATGCCCCTGATGAGCATCATCAGCTCGGGAATCGCTCGCAACAACCGCGCTATCCGGGATAGCCTCAACAATCTCAAGGTGCGGAATACCCCTATGTCAGCGCCTGGGTCGCCAGTGCCTGAATTGATAACAACGATGCTCGCTGGCAAAACAACAATCTCTACAAACATGAAAACCACCAAGACTGCATCGAACAAAAACCATTTGTCACGCAATGCTTCCGACCTGTGATCATATGCCTTCCATCGAATGAGGAGTTCTGCGCTGAAATATAATGAGAAAGCGACCTCGACCACTTGAACTTCCACCTCTGCTTGGACGAAGCTGTTGCAACGGCTATTGTCGGTGTCGACCCACATCCATGCAGCGTTTAGCACGACCATCGACATGGACATGAAGAAGAACCATTGAGTTGTGGCGACTCTGGCCCACCCGTTTTCCATGTTCGAATACGGGTGAACAAAGCTCCGCTTGGAGGAGTGCGAACTGTTTTTCGACGACCGTTGGTGCCGCATCCAGAATGTGTTGACGTCCTCCTCCTTCTTCTCCAGGAGGGCGAGGATCTGCCCCGTCACAGCATCGCGGCGCGCCTCGTACTCTTCCTGCGCTTCGAGCCGCCAGCGCCCCGTGTCGGCCAGGTGCCTCAGCCTGCCAACGGCCCACCGTGCGTGGAACAGCAGCCCCGTGTGCCCGCATCGACGCACACGGTGCCTGTGGTCGTTCCACGGGTCGTGCTGGACCATGTCATTGAAGAAGATCTCTACCATGGGGTAGGGCTGGTCCTCCTTCCGCTCGTCGCCTGCCGGACGTAACAGCCTGAGGCGCACCTTGGACTCCCCGGCCAGGAAGGCGTTCTCGATCTTCCTGGCAACTCCTTTACTGTAAGACTGCCACCCGGTGGAATGCTCCCTCTGCCAGCGCGCACCTGCCTCCGTCATGATGCTCCCGGACGACTTGAGGCTCGCATTCCTCGAGTACCGATGAGCACGTCCTCGGCTAGTCGAGCCGGTCAAGGTCTCTGACGCGTCAGGCTTGGGGGTCTCGTCATCGTCATCGTCATCGTCGGCGAAATAATACTGCGGCGTTCTGTCTGGTAAGGCTTAGGGCTGCGCGCAGACAGCCCCGCCTTGGCAGTCCCAGCTGGCCTCAGCAGACCCCCCGAGCAGCCCGGGGCAGTCTCAACACGGAGGGGCTCCCGGGGGGCGCCGCCCGAGGCGCCGGCAGGGTGTTGAGGCCGCCCCAGGCTACCCCTGAGATCCGACGTCGCGAAAAAAATGCAACATCCCGAGAGGCCCCCTAAGAGGCCCCCTAAGAGGCCCCAAAACGGTGCCCACTAGGCCTCAAAGTCCAGCAGGCCCCCGGGAGGCCCCCCACGAGATTCCAACGAACATCCACTGGGCTTATTATCCACAAGCCAGGCACGGTGGCGGGACTTGCCGTAGGCAGCTGGATATACAACATCTTTGAACATCACGGCCAGAGCTCTGGGCCCCACCTTTCTGCGCCATTTTGGAGCCGGATCGATCCGTCAGGGTCGGGGCCCGAAACTGGGCGAGACGAAGCCTGGTGTGAACAAGATGCCACTCCCAGACCTTAGGGTAACCCTGACGCGCAATAATCGATTCCCCCAAACGTTATCACTAGACTTTGAACATGTCAATTTTAGTCCCGATGGGGGGAAACAGTCAAGCGATACCGTTTAGCACCCCCGACACATGAATGAATCAAACAATTCCGCGTGGGGAGGGCGGTGGAAGCGAGTGCAGTAAGACAGCCCAGGAGAGGCCCCAAGACGGGATCCTACTGGGCTCCTGTTGCGATCCTCCCGGGCTCTCATCGGAATATCGGAATCCGATCGGGGTCTTGCTGGGAGCCTACTCGCATCTTGGTGGGCTCCTGCGCTGAGGGGTGCGGGGGCGGGGCATCCCTTCCGTGGGGGCGAGCAGGGCTGGACCTAAACGGTGTTTTGGCGATTTCGTGGGCCGTTTTCGTTTCGACCTCGTTTTTCGGTAGAGGCGGATTGAAGACAAAACGAGGGAAAACGAAAACAAAACGAAAACGAAAAACACCGTTCAGGTTCAGCCCTGGGGGCGAGAAGCGACGCAGCCTCCACCGAGGAGGGGGGGACGACGCTTGCCGCCCAGGGCTGCCAAGCTTCGGGGGGAGACTGCCTGTGCGCCGCGCGACGCCTTGCCAGTTCTGTCGCGCTGTATCTCTGGCTGCGCGCCCTCGGCGCGGCCGGGACTGTGGAGCGGCTGCGGCGAGCCCTCTTCGCCCGCCGCGTGGCCGACCGCCCCTGGAAGCTGGGGCTCCACGCCGCCGCCGCCGCCCTCCGCGCGGCCCCAGGGGCCCCGCGCCCACGCCCTCGAGCTCTCGGCCGGAGCGGTCACCATTGCCCCCCGGGCCGAGGAGGAGGAGGAGGAGGAGGAGGAGGAGGAGGAGGAGGAGGAGGTGGTGGGCTCTCCAAGCCACCGACGAGGTGACTTCTGCCACGGGCGGCCTGCTCGCAAGATCGGCTCCCCGAGGGGGGCCGCGGTTGCGGACCGGCTGGGGCTGGCAGAGAGGAGCCCGGGGCGAAGGGCCACCCCTGGGGAACCGGTCTGGGCCGCTTGGGCCGCGCAGGTGCAAAAGTCAGATCGTCGGATGTCAGGGTGCCTGGAGGACTGGAGGGAGAGTGGTGCGAGTTCTTGTTGGTGAGAGGGGCGTTTCGAAGTCCCGCGGGAGCGCTCCTCAGCCAAATGTCTGCGACGGCATGCTCACAGCGGGATGGCGGCAATGAGCTCACTGAGGGCAAACACATCTCGCTGAAGGAAACATTGTTTTTCCTTCAGTGGGCCCATGGTAGGTGAACCACCCCTACAAGCCTCGAGCGGAGTAGTGGATGAGGCATGGTCGCTGGAGAAGCAAACGTGAGTAGGGCGCGATGGGCGAGCACTGATGCGCGAAGAACGAAAAGCAGGGGGCGAGGAGGGAGCAGAAACAGAAGAGGAAGGACTTCGAGGAACACCACCCCTCGTCCTAATCCTTCTTGTCCTCCTCCTTGCGCTGTCCCTCCTCCTTCTCCTACAATTATGATTCCCGTGCTCCTTCTCCCTCTCCTTCCCTTTTCCCTGTCTTTCTCCCTCCTCCTCCTCCTCCTCCTCCTCCTCCTCCTCCTCCTCCACTTCCTGTGTCCTCATCTATTTCACGCTCTGCCTCCTCCCCCTCCCTTTCCCTCCGTCTTCCTCCTCCTCCTCCTCCTCCTCCTCCTCTTTCTCTTCCTCCTCCTCCTCCTCCTCCTCTCTTCATCCTGCGAGCTTTCAACCTGGGTCCCCGGCAGAGAGTTTTCGCCACCCTCATGGTCTGCGAGCTGCGTGCTGGCCTCTGCAGGGGGGACCGAGGCATGTACGGCGGGCTCGTGTCGTGACGACCTGAATTGTTGGTCTCAGGCACCATGTTGACCGTTCAACCTTGAACGCTCGGCGGCTTCCCAATCGCCAGGTCTTTCCGCAGTGGCTGATTCCGGGCCACTGGCGGCGCTCAGCCTTGAACGCCCGCGAACGGGGTCGCGGCGAGTCGACACGACGCGAGCTTGCTACACAGACCGCCGCGGCCAGACCCATCCGCTGTGAGAAGGGGAGGAGCTGGACCTGGGGGATGGCGGCGCCGCACGTGCCGACCGCCGCGGCCTGACCCAACTGCTGAATAGGGGCAGAGAAGGAGAAGAGTGAGTGCGAGGAGGAGGGGGGGGGGAGGACGACGACGCCGAGGGCGACGAGGACGAGGATGAGGATGAGGACGAGGAGGGCTAGGAAGGGGAGGTTGAGCGTCGACGGTCGAATCTCTGACGCTCTCGGGTCCCTCCTGGGGGCGGCGCCCGCGGGGTGCCTGGACGTAGCGCTCGTACTCGCGCTCGCAGACCGTGGGTAAAGCGTCCGCGGAGGCCTCGGCGTCGTCCGCGGGGGCCTCGGGGGCCTCGGCGGCTCTTCGGAACGCGCCATCTGCTGGATCCCCAACCCACCTCCTGAATATTGACCCCGCCCGCCGAAGAAAAAGAACGAACCTGTGGTCTTGTAGTATCTCTGGTGACGGTCGTTACCTGGGGGAGGGGGGTTCTCTGGAAACGGTCGTTGCCCGGGGGGGGGCGGGTAACGGCAACGCTTGGGCAGGGTGGGGCACGTCGGGGCGGGGGTGCGCTGCGATCGCCATACATAGTGTGCGCGCGAACACCAGCACGTGGGAGGCGGTCCCGCCCCTCCAGCGGGCAACGACCGTTGCGCGCCAGAGGATGAACAAGCATACGATCTGCTGCTGAGTATTGACCGCACCAGCCGAGGATCGAGGAACAGATGTTCGGCACATATTCGGCACATCTGTTCGGTCCTCCTCATCGCTGCCCCCGCCCCTCGAGGATCGAGGGGCAAATGTGGCCGGGCGGTTTCTGGGCTAAAAAACGCAAGCTGCAACACATCAGGGTTGCTTTGAGAAAGTGGTTCTGCGATCGGTAACTCGACGAACTGCAACCAACATGCCATGCCGTGCCGCGCCGTGCCCGCCTGCCGTGCCATGCCTGCGTCCTAGGATGTGAATAGATGTACTGCCCTCGGGCCATGCCGTGCCGTGCCAGCTTTCTACGAGCCGATCGAATGCGGCACCCGAACGCCAAGCCGTGCCATGCCCGCGTGCCGTGCTGCGCTTACGTCCTAGGAATGCGAAGGATGTGCCGCCCGCGTGCCGCGCCGTGCCCGCGAACCGTGCTGGGCCCGCGTGCCGCGCGCGCGCGTTGTGCAGTGCGAGTCGTGTGCAGCCCGCGCGCCATGCCGTGCCGTGCCCGCGTGCCGCGCCGTGCGCGCGTTGTCAGAACAACGAAGCTGTGCCACCCGCGCGCCGTGCCGCGCGATGCCGCGTCCGCGTGCCGTGCCACGCCCACGCTCCAAGATACGACAAAAGAACTGCTCGATGCCGTGCCCGCGTGCCGTGCCGTGCGCGCGTTCCATGCCGTGCCCGCGTTCAAAGATGTGGGGATTGGCCACCCGCGTGCCGTGCCGTGCCGTGTCCGCGTGCTGTGCTGTGCCCGAACTCTGACATGCGAAAGCTTTCCGCCGTTGTCGATAATGCAAATGAATGTATGAAAGCTACGCAAATGCATTCATAGACATGTTTATGTAATACGGCGAATGCATTCGACGACGTGCCAAGCGAGATCCCCGCTGTGGAAAACACGCTTCCACCCGTGTGCATATGTTGCACAACTACACATTTCGGTCACTAAATCCTACCAGCCCTCTGGGCGTAGATGGTGTAATGATATTGTCCCGTCCTCTTACAGACCCCCCAATCTGTTCGGGGGAAAGGGTACCTCTCCCCTCCCTTCCATGAGGGTTTTCCCCATCCTGCGTTGTTGGGTCCTCGTTCTGAATCAGCACCGTCCCGCGTCACTCCTCCCTCCGCCTCTCTCCCTCCTCTTTCAGTTCGGCGCACCCATCGCACGCTTCGTGGCCCTGTAGGAAGCTCCACCGACGGTCCCAATGGCAAACCTCGCATGCGCTCCCGCCGTTCATTGCGACACGCCTCTCAAACGTGTCATGCCCTTGGGGGGAGCTCCACCGGAAGCCCCAACGGTTGAAGCTCGCATGCGCTCCTGCCGCACATGCTGGCGCATCCCTCACAAATAGCGGTGCCATAGGCCCGCCGGCGCTGGCCGCTGCACCCCAACAATGGGTGTTGGGCGCTTTCGGCGCACGCGGCACGCGACCTTCGCCGCCGCGAGCCGCCGCACAACAGCTGCCCGGGCACATGATCAGGCAGGACAGAGCCGTGTGCGCGCGGCGCGCACGGTGGGGCCAGCGCTCCGTCCCAGCGCCCGCGAGCGCCCTACCAATCAATCGCCTGCGAGCGGGCGTCGCGGCAAGCAGGCGCACCCCCCCCGGGCGCGCGCCAGGCCAATGCGCCTGCGCGGGGCGGCCTGGGGCCAGCAGCTGGCGCCGCGTCGTTAGACCGCGCCCCAGCGCCTGCGCACTTGACCGCGCCATTTGCGCCGCCCCCCACCTCCGGGGCGCCGCGACTTTTCGAGCACGTGGGCGTGACGTGGAGGCCCAATGATACGCCGCGTCGACGTCGGGAAGCCTGCCCGCGGCATGAAATGCCAGGCCGCCTGGCGAAACTCGTTGAGGTCCACCCACTTCTGTTCTGGAAAGGCACGCGAGCCTGGTGCCCAGGCCCCCCAGGTGCGGAGGTGGCGCCTGTTGCTGCTGCCACCGCCTGCGCCCATGCAGGCGATACAGCTTGCGATTGCACACGTGCCGACTTCGATGGTCTGCCATCCAGAGTGTAACTCCTTCCACATGTCGCAGAGGTGCTGGAGGCCAGGGATCCTCAAGCGGCGTTGCATGAGTCGCCGAAGAAACTTGCCCCGGGCGTTCCCCCTCGTCAACGTATCGGGCGTCTGCTGCTGTCGCGCCACTGTGGTGCTCACGGAAATCGGAACATCCCGCGACGCAATCACGGGAATGTTCCTCGTACGTCGCGTGGTCACTGTACTGAGCACCGCCAAATGCACGATCGTCTAGAAGGGTGCGCGTCGGGATCCCGTCCTGCCCGGCTGGCGGGCATGAGTAAGTCGAGCGGAAGGTGGGGTCCTGGGGCGTGGTGCCTGGGAGTGATGGTATCCCAGTCGTCATGCCCTCCACTGCGTTACCTCGGGGGCGAGAACCTACCCAGCGCGTCCCCGCTCGGCACCAGCGACGCAATCGCCGGATGCCTCTCGCGTGCATGCTTCTCTCGGGGCTCTCGGGACACGGCCCCAGAAAGCTCGAGACCTTGAACTGACACCGCAGATGTGAACGCTGCGCCGAACAACTATCAAACACCTGAGGCGGGACACCTCGGGGCACCACATCGATCTCAATATCGATCTCACTATCGATCTCACGATCGATCTCACTCAACGGGACACCACGGGACACCACGGGACACCACGGGACACCGGCGGGACACCGCGCGCCACCGGCCGCCAGAGAAACATTTGGTCCGGCCGCGGCCCAGCCACAAGAGGATTTCGGGACACCAGCGGGACACCGGCGGGACACCGCGCGGCACCGGCCGCCGGAGGAGCAACATTTGGTCCGGCCGCGGCCCAGCCACAGGAGGGTTTCCTCTCGCCCGCCCACGCAGCTTCGCCTCGCCCGCACGCGCGCACTGCACGCACACGAACCCGAAACCGAAATCGATTTTCCGGTAGGGGGGGGATCTCCGTTTCACGTCGGACTCACCCCCCAACCTCCGATATACGCGAGAGAAAGACAGGAACACGCTGGCACACAATCATAGGGGAGAACATTGATACTCATATGACTGGCCCCGAAACACAGCATCCCCAAACCATTGACATCTCTGGGGGACACCCTTTCTACCTCATGATGCTTGGTCGCACTACCCCCTGCTGCGTCAGGCTTGGGAAGCTTCGTGAAGGACTGGCCCGAAGCCTATCGCAATCACGGCGCCATAGTGTAAGTAGTCGATGTGATACAGTCGGGGCGTTGACCTAAGGAACCCTAAGTAAGGAACGAGGCCCCTTTTTTCCATGAGTTAAACTTCGATTTCCGATCGAAGACATGAGGAAAACCTGAGGCAAGCTGTGAGCACACTTTCAAAGCGCGGAGCCCCACCCCAACGAAAAGGGTTCCTCCTTCAGGGCCCCGACTGTGGCCCACGGAGACGCGCAGGCGGACGACAGCTTGCGCTTCCGCCGGCTTCCGCCGACCTTTCGAAGGCGCCTGCCGGCGTCGGAGCCGCTTCCGCCGAGGGGGAGGCGCTGACTCCTCGACCCTCGGACGGCGAGGCCCCGTCTGGAGCGCCGCAGGCTGGGACAACTGTCGAGGGGGGGGGAGGGAAGGGGCTTCGCGCTCGTGACGCTGGTGGCGAGGAGGAGGAGGAGGAGGAGGAGGAGGAGGAGGAGGAGGAGGAGGGGGAGGAGGAGAGAAGGAGGAGGAGAAGGAGGAGGAGGGGGATGGAAGAAAGAACGCGAATTGGCTAGGGTAGCAGGAACAGGAAGGAGGTGGCGCGTCCTCGTTAGTCTGCTTCAGCGCCTCCCTGTAGAGTTCTAGGTCGGCCTGCACATGGTGCTCTTCCAACCACTGCTCCAGCAGGTCCTTCGCAGCCCCCCTCCATCCCGTGTCCTCCTCCCTCATTCTCTCCTCGTCCTCTTCTTCTTCCTCCTCCTCCTCCTCCTCCTTCCTCCCTTCTCGAATCCTCCTCTCCTCTTTCCTGCCCATCTTCCTCCTCCCTCCTCCTCTTCCTCCTCCTCCTCCTCCTCCTCCTCCTTCTCCTCCTCCTCCTCCCCTGACCTTCCATTTCTTTCGGATCGGCACAGCGGGCCCCCAATATCAGGCGCAAGGAGAGGCCAAACATTGAGGCCCACGGGAGGTTCCTCCCCCATCAAGAGCTTCTTGAAGCTCCTCGCTCCTCGGACCCCCTTAAGACGAAGCCAGGAAGAGGATAACATCGGGTCAGGATAGATCGAGAATCTCTGAGATCACGCGGCTCTGGAGGATGTCACGGGCGCCGCGGCCTTCTCAGAGCGTTTCAGGACTCTGAGAGCGTTCCAGAACGCTCTGGAACGGACTTACCCCCGTCCTGGCCCCGTCCGACACCTTCCGCCTGGGTTCACATGGTGAGTCAAATTTATGGGATTCCTCATAGCCTCCGTAACTAGAGGCCTCCTGGATGGGGCCCGAGAAGATGGGGTCGGAGGATCTCGCCGCATCGGCGATACATCGGCGATGCATCGCCGATGCATCGGCCATGCACTGGCGACGTCGGCGATGCATCGGCCACGTCGGCGTGACGAAAATTGGGCCCTACATCGAGCCGCATCGCCGATGCATCGTCGATGCATCGGCGATGTGGCGCGATCCTCCGACCCCCGTCCACTCCGACCCCGTCTGCGAGGCCTACAGTCATCGGCCTGACCCAAGGAACGATAAATAAGGAACGAAGCCCCTTTTTTTATCCCAAGGAATAACGCATAGGGAACGATACATAACAAATGACGCATAAGGAACTGCAACATAACGCATGCAAGCCTAAGGAACGACCGAGCCCCCGTTGAAAAGTACGTGTTCCTTACTCGAACCGCTCACTGTAGAGAAGGCCCTCCTCCTCCTCCTCCTCCTCCTCCTCCTCCTCCTCCTCCTCCTCCTCCTCCTCCCCCTCCTCCCCCTCCTCCTCCTCCTCCTCCTCCTCCTCCTGCCGTCCTGGTAGAAAACCCCGGGCGACGTCCCCGACGGAAGAGAAACGGGTCAGCGAGGCCGGCCTCGCCCGCCTCGTCCCGCGGGTTCCCTCCCCCCCACACCGATGGCGTTGTCGTTCGCTCGTCCCCCCCATGGGGAGGAGGAGGAGGAGGAGGAGGAGGAGGAGGAGGAGGAGGAGGAGGAGGAGGAGGAGGAGGAGGAGGAGGAGGAGGGGAGGAGGAGGAGGGAGGAGGAGGAGGAGGAGGAGGAGAAGGAGGGAGGAGGAGGAGGAGGAGGAAGACTGGACGTAAGAATGACCCTTCGCAAGAGCTCGGAGGAGAAAAAAAGGTACCCATACCGCTAACGTCGGTCAATATTTAGGCCCCCCCTCCGTTATCGTTAGCACCGCACAGCAAATAAATTCCAGGGGACGATTTTTGCCGAACGAGAACTTTAGCACCGTGCCAACACAGCAAAACAAATAACCCACCTCCCCCCAGGTTTGTTAAAAAGTAGCTCGAAATGTGCACGAATTTCACGGGTTGAGGGCGACTCGCTTTCAAAATATAGCTATCGCCTTAGAGCCGCGCGCGTTCGTTCTACACATTTGCACGAGATTCACGGACTGAGGGCGGCTCGGTTTCAAAATTTAGCTCTCGCGCCAGCGTCACACACATTCATTTTGAGCATGTGCACGGGATCCACAGGTACTGAGGCGTCTCGTTTTCAAAAACTAGCTCTCGCCTTAGCACCGCGCGCATCCGGTATACAAATCGCACGAGCCTCACGGATTGAGGGCGGCTCGGTTTCAAAATATAGCTCTCGCCTTAGCGCCGCGCACGCTCGTCACAAGAATTTGCACGAAATTCGCGGATTGAGGTCGGCTCGTTTTCAAACCTTAGCTTTCGTGCCAGCGCCGCGCTCATTCGTTTATAAGAAATCCCATCAGTTTCACGGATTGAGGGCGGCAAGCTCCCACAACGTACTGGTCGTATCAGAAGCCAGATCAGCCACAATAGCAATAGTCGTAGCGACAATAGAATTAACAAAAGTATTCGTGACAATATGTAGCCACACTAGTCTGGTTTCTCCCCAACGCCCCCGCCCTATGCGACTCTCATTGTAACCCTTCACTAGACATTGACTTCCGTCGGCTGTCTTGGGGAAGGTCCACCCCAGGGTATCGCCCCCCCGCCCCGCACGGAGCGTTATCTTAGCACCGCGGAACGGCTAATATAAATGTGCCCCGTCCGCGAGTAATCGTAGTAGTGGTAATGTACCAATGGGTCTAATACATGCATTTGGCGACGTATTGGGGTAGAAGTAGGAACCAGAGGAATAGTACGATTACGGGTGCGAATACTTTCTAGCCGTAATAACGATCGCAATAATAGTACTACCAATCGTAGTTGGAATACTCGTATTTCGAACGGGGGCGAATACAAAACTTCTTTTCTCTTTCTACCCACCGCCCCCGCCATATGCGACTCCTTCTGTAACCCTTAATGAGCAGTTGTTTACTACCAGATGTCCTGGGGGGTGGCCCACCCCAAGGTATCGACCCCACCCCGCACGGAGCGTTACCGTAACGCCGCGGAACGGTACAACAAATATCCTGCTCGCGAGTCATAGAAGCAGTAGTAATCGTAGTGGTAGCAGTAGTAGTAGTAGTAGTAGTAGTAGTAGTAGTAGTAGTAGTAGTAGCAGTGGTAGTAGTAGTAGTAGTAGTAGTAGTAGTAGTAGTAGTAGTAGTAGTAGTAGCAATAGTAGTAGTAGTAGTAGTAGCAGCAGTAGTAGTAGTAGTAGTAGTAGTAGTAGTAGTAGTAGTAGTAGTAGTAGTGGTGGTAATAGTAGTAGTTGTAGTAAGAGCAATCGTAATAGTGATCGTAATAGTAGTAGTAGTAGTAGTCGTAGTAGTAGTAGTAGTAGTAGTAGTAGTAGTAGTAGTAGTCGTAGTAGTTGCAATGAAAATGATGTAGCTACCACTAAGACAAGCGATGCCTGTAATATAGAGTAAGTAGTAATGGGCAGAAGGGGTACTAGACATAGCAGTAGTAGTAGTAGTAGTAGTAGTACGTAGCAGTAGTAGTAGTAGAAGTAGTAGTAGTAGTAGTAGTAGTAGTAGTACAAGTGGAAGTCGTAGTCGTAGTCGTTGTCCTAGTCGTAGTAGTAGTAGTAGTAGTAGTAGTAGTAGTAGTAGTAGTAGTAGTAGTAGTAGTAAGAGTAGTGGTAGTATTAGTCGTAGTAGTAATAGTTGTAGCAGTAGTAGTAGTAGTAGCAGTAGTAGTAGTAGTACTAGAAAAAGTAGTAGTAGTCGCAAGACAAGTGGTAGTCGCAGTCGTAGTCGTAGTCCCAGTAGTAGTAGCAGTAGTCGTAGTACTAGTAGTAGTAGTAGTAGTAGTAGTAGTAGTAGTAGTAGTAGTGCTACTAGTAGTAGTAGACGTGGTAATGGCAGAAGAAGAAGAAGTAGTAGTAGCTGTTGTACTCGTAGCCGTAGTAGTAATAGTAGGTAGTAGGTCGTAGGTAGTAGGCAGGAGGTAGTAGGTGGTAGGTAGCCGGTAGTGGCTAGTAGGGAGTAGGTAGTCGGTAGTAGTAGTAGAAGTAGTAGTAGTAGTAGTAGTCGTAGTAGTCGTAGTAGTAGTAGTAGTAGTAGTAGTAGTAGTAGTAGTAGTAGAAGAAGTAGTGGCAATAGAAGTAGTAGTAGTAATAGTAGTAGTAGTAGTAGTAGTAGAAGTAGAAGTAGTCGTAGTAGTAGTAGTAGTAGTGATCGTACTAGTGGTAGAAATAGTAAGTAGTCGTCGTACTAGTACTAGTAGTAGTAGTAGTAGCAGTGGTAGTAGCAGTAGTCGTAGTAGCAATAGTACTAATTGTAGTAGTAGTAGTGGTAGTAGTAGTAGTAGTAGTCGTAGTAGTCGTAGTCGCATTCGTAGGAGTCGTCGTCGTAGTAGTAGTGGTGGTAGTGGTAGTGGTAGTGGTAGTGGTAGTCGTAGTAGTAGTAACAGTAGTAGTAGTAGTAGTAGTAGTAGTAGTAGTAGTCGTAGTAGTAGTAGTAGTAGTAGTAGTAGTAATCGTAGTAGCAGTAGTAGTAGTAGTAGTAGTAGTAGTAGTAGCAACAGTAGCAGTAGTAGTAGTAGTAGTAGTAGTAGTCGTAGTAGTAGTAGTAGTGGTAGTAGTAGTAGTAGTATTAGTAGTAGTAGTAGTAGTAGTAGTAGTAGTAGTAGTAGTAGTAGTACGAGCAGTAGTCGAAGCAGTGGTCGTGATAGTCGTTGTCGCAGTAGTAGTCGCAGGAGCAATCGCAGTAGTAGCAATAGAAGTCCTAGTAGTAGTAGTAGTAGTAGTAGTAGTAGTAGTCGTAGTAATGGTGGTGGTAGTAGTAGTAGAACCATCGTCGCAGTAGTGGTAGTAGTAATACTAGGCCTAGTAGCGGTCGTGGTAGTAGTAATAGTAGTAATAGTAGTAGCAGTAGTAGTAGTAGTAGTGGTAGTAGTAGTAGTGGTAGTACAAATCATCGTAGCCGTAGTACTAGTAATAGTAAAAGTAGTAGTAGTAAAAGAAGAAGAAGAACTAGTCGTCATAGTAAGAGTCGTAGTGGTAGCAATAGTACTGACCGGTATCAGTAAGAGAACTATTACGAAGTTGTAGATGTAGAGGCACTGGTACTTCGCAGAAATAGTAGACGTCGTAGCCATGGTACTTCGTGGTGGTACTTAGTGCTGGTAGTACTTGCATGTAGTAGTACTGGGACGACTGCTCAGTAGCAGTCGCCGTTACAATAGTACTTGATAATATTAGGAATGCGTAGTTGTAGTGATAGTGCTTAGCAGTAGTAGTAGCAGTAGCAGTAGTAGTAGTAGTAGTAGTAGTAGTAGTAGTAGTAGTAGTAATCGTAGTAGTGGTAGTAGTAGTAGCAGTAGTAGTAG